TGTTTCAGGTCCAGTCACCTTTCCTCAGAACAGGTTTTATTGTTTTTCCAGCCTTGCTTTTTAAGGATCCTATGTTCACTTTGCCCTCTACCAAGTTTTTAAAATTTATTTAAAGAAGCTTGCCTTCAATTGCAGCCTCCCAGATAAGAAATGGACAGGTGTCTGGTTGGGGTGGCTTAGTAGTCTCAATGTGTGCCTTTGGACTCCAGGGAGTATGTCACAAACAGCCATTTGTCTCCATAGGGGCCAGAGCATAGGGGCAGGTGTCAGCGGGGGCTGGCCAGCTGGTCCGCAGTCATCTCTCTGCCACTATTATAGAGTCATAGAGGTGTACAGTGAGGAAACAGATCCCTTGGCCCAACTTGCCCATGCCGCCCAGTTCGCACATTTAATCTAGTCCCATTTGCCTGTGTTTGTTCCAGATCCCTCTATACCTATTCCATCCATGTATCTGTCTAAATGTTTCTTAAATGACTAAATTGTACTTGCTTCCACCATTACTTCTGGTAGCCTGTTCCAGACACTCACAACCTTCTGTGCGAAAAAATTGTTCCTCTGGACCCTTTTGTTCACAGAGATTAAAGAGGAAGGGAGGTGGGGGTTGGAGGGTGGGAAGTGAGGCAGGTGTAGGCGTATTTACATGGTTTGGGTGATGACCTGGGGAACTATGAAACCCCTGGGATTGAGGGATGGGGCACCTAGGGGGATAGGGTTTGGGGGCACAATTACATGTTAACACTGAAGCTGAAAACCAGTGACAGAGGATTGCTCAGTATCATTTCTATCTTGATGCATGTGGACATTGAGAAATGAGAATGGCCGTGAATGCATTTGCAATGGGAGGTGTCAGTGAGCTGGAGTATGAGGGAGGAGACTACAACTACAGCTGGTCACTGGTGTTTCCCAGGGGTAGAATGTTAGCGCTGCACCCATGAGATGTTGACATCACAGCATGCAAGCTGTTTACTCCCTGGTGCTCATTGTATCCCCGTCCCATAGAACAGCTTTAGGGACCAAGGAGGGAAACTACAGGCTGCAATGTAGCCTTACCCTCAGACATGGACAACCACACAAATGATCACAGACTCTAACAATATACGGAAATGGAAGCCATGGGCCCCACATGCCCTCACAAAACCTTTCAAATCCCATCCCTCCTGCTGTGCCTCACATTTGCAGATGGAGTGGAGGCAGCCTGGTCCCTAGTGGATTCCATTGGTCTTGAAAATATAGCAGAACAACCATGGTGATATTTTTGCCTGGACAGGCCCGACATGTCAAGAGTTTTCCCACCTGAGGCAAGCTAACCCTTCCCAGCCTGAAGCTCCATGGATGGGTGGGGAGGCAGGCAGTATGAAGGTGGAGGGTCCAGCCACCTCTGCAGTCTCCTGAGCATGCATTGCTGAGGGACTTGTGTGTAGTTCCTCCTCCTGGCACTCACTGTATTCATGGATATGTGGTCAAGGCTCCTCCTCTCAGCCTGGCTTTTGGTCCTGAGGACGAATGTGTGAATGAGTACAATGCATGTGACTTTCTGGCATCACCTCACACTGCAGCTGCCAACCTTTCTACGGATCCAGATAGTTGCTGGACTGACTGTATCACTCCAATGTCCTGTAGGCCTGCCAATCCTCATCATCTCTGAACACATCCATGAAGGCCCTCATCACCAGGACAACAGAGTCTTCCCCAGCCATGGGCTGAGAAGGTGCCTGTCAATGGCAGTTCTCTGAGTTTCAGTGGCCTGGGGCATTTCTCCCTCCACCCAACTGAGCAGTGTGAAGTCCTCAGCAGCCACCCATCCCACACTCCCTTTGCCTTTCAGGCCCACCCATGTTTCAGTGTCCCTTGTCCAGTGGGCAGCCTTGCCGATGCCTCCTCCAGGCTGCGCGTGGTCTCTTCCTCTGATTTTGAGGAGATGTTCTGGGGAGATGTTGGCCTCTCGGCTTATATTCTTGCACACCAGCTGCAACTGTAAGACACAAAAGGCAGGAGGCCTAGATGCAGTTGGCAAATGGCAGTATGTCAGGGCCACTAGAAGTGGTACTTACTCGGTTGCGGGGACATTGCACTGGGGCCTTTTGAAGCTGGTGCACCCATAATCGATGCTGGTCTTATGGTGGCTTTCTATTGAGTAGCGTGTTCTTCCAGGCATGGTGCTTGGTAAGATGGGACAGAGAGACAATGTGATACTCACCACTGGGTCTCAACGGCAATTAAAGCAGCAAGTTTGGTAAGATATGGCAAGAAAACTCGCCCAGCCTCACAGCAAGTTTCACTCCATCAAACCCAGAAGTTACATGATGCCAGTTTATACAGCAACAGGTATGTTTGAAATCAAGCTTTTGGAATACTGGCCCCAGCACTCTGAAAACTTCTGATTTCGAATAAACCTGTTGGACTATAACTTAATGTCATGTAACTCCTGACCTTGTCCACCCCAATCCAACACTGGCATCTCCACATCATGTCCACCAAATCCAACAGAACTCACACTTAGCCAAGAAAAGTACAATTCCTCCCATAGTTTCGGGAAATTGTCCTGAACACACTTGACGAATTATTCTGCCTGGCTAGCTCAGCCAATTTGACTTGTGCAATCTACGTGAAGATCAAAGTCACCCAGGATTAATGTCCTGCCTTTTTTTTACATACACTTATTATGTCCTGCTCCAAACTATCACCACAAGTTAAAACTACTTTTAGTTTCTGCTAACCATTTCTGTTGTGTAAGTACCAGAGGGACAAATGTAATTTATATCTTTGACCCCACTATAAAAGTGAAAACTCCAACTTATTTCGTGGTAGCTTATGTTTGTTCCACTGGACTTTTCTTTTCTGATTTTTATAATGCCCGCAACAGGTTTGATAATTGGTTTCTGTTTCTATTTCTCAAACAGTGGCACATTTCATGTTTCACATAGAAACATTGAGAAAACATAGTAAACTGTAAGTCATACTGTGGTGTAGGAGTGATCTCAGTTTGTGGATGATAGTTTGATATCAGGTGGGTTAATAATGGGGAGGATCCTTCAATCTCTTTCAGTGGTTTCATTGCGTTCGCATGCAAACTACAGCAATGACTCAAACTATTTCATCAAACTATTCCATAAGGTATTTTTCATGCATCTGACTTATTAAATTGCCTTTTTTTGAAAACATTCATTTCTTCTGACTTGCCCTTAAGTTAAACTGTATAGGAACAGCTCTTCCTCGACACTGAAGGAAGAATTCTGTCAAACCTGATCGTGTAATATCTTGCAAATATCACCACCATTAACAACTAAGCACAAAGCCAACCAGGAGGAGCTGGGGATTTCTTCAAGCAGCTCTATTTACATATGTATGAAGAACATTTTGCCTTTAATTTTCCCTAAAGTGAAAGTTACTATGAGCTGAAATTATAATGCAGAAAGAGATATGCCTGAGGGTATCAATCATTCTCACCGTTGTGTTTCACGCTAAGCAGGGAGAACTCTGGTAAGACTTCATGTTCTATTTTATTATCTGTTCTGCTATTTGCTGAACAGAAAGCAACAATGAATGAGATTTCAACTCATTCACAAACCCATTTACTTATAGAGTTAAAACTCGGCCCTCACAGCAAGTAAGCAACTTTGCTGATGGACCAGTAAGCTTACTGAGTGAGCGGCTGTACAATACACATTGGATCATAGAATCCCTACTGTGTGGATGCAAGGCCATTTGCCCCATTGAGTCCACACTGACATTCCGAATAGCATCCCACCCAGACCCACCCTCTCTCTGTAACCCTGCATTTTCCATGGATAATCCACCTAACCTACACATCCCTGGACATATGGGCAATTTAGCATAGCCAATCCATTTTGCCTGCACATCTTTGGGCTGTGGGAGGAAACCAGAGCTCCCAGAGGCAACCGACACAGACACAGGGAGAATGTGCAAACTCCATGCAGTCACCTGAGAGTGGAATCGAACCTGGGTCCCTGACACTGTGAGGCAGCGATGCTAATGACTGAGCCACCATGTCGCCCTATTATTTCCACCTTATGCTTGGTTCTCAGATTTCAAGTGGACCATTGGCTGAAGTAATATGTGTATACGTGCAAATATATGAACTTATGAAGACATGAATCAGGAGCAGTGGTTTGCCATTTGGGCTCTCAGGACATTTGTCAAGATCATAGCTGTTTTGATTGTGGCCTCAATCTACTTCCCTGCATATCCAGCGTACTTGAATATTTTCTTGTTAGTCAAAATCCTATCAACCTTCATCTTAAAAATACTCAACGATTCAGCCTTCACTGTTGCCAGGGAAGAGAATTCCACAGATTCATGGCTTTTTGAGGGTAAAATATTTCCTAAGCTCCATCCTAAGTGGGAAACTGCTTGCCTTCAAGGGACAACAGCCTTACAGCATCTATCCTGTCAAGTTCCCTCTGTGTTTTATATGTTTCGATAAAAATACCTAATCCTTCTAAACTCCAATGCAATCAGGGCCAACCTGTGCAAACTTACCTCACAACATAACACTCTCATCCCAGGTATCAACTGACTGAACCTTCTTTGAACTAACTTTATGCAATTATGTGCTTTCTTAAATAAAGAGACCAGTACTGTACTGTAGATATTGTCTCACCAATGCTCTGTACAACTGTAGCAAAACTTTCCTACTTGTATATTCTATTTACCCTGGCAATCAACGACACCATTCAATTTGACTTTCTAATTACTTGCTATACCTGCATATTAACTCTTTTTTTGTGGCTTGTACCTCAGAGCTCTGCAATCTCTCTCAATTTAAATAATTATCCAGACTCACTCTCTAGAGGACCATGGCTCACTGTTGTTATAACAGTCAAAATGTTGTATAATGGTCAGGGAGTTGGACACCTCCTGGAACAGAGTGTCGAATTTAATTTCCTCCTCCCTGATGCATTGCAGTATCTGCAGTTTGGCTTCCAGCTCAATAATTCTGAGCTGAATTTCCTCAAATTGTAGGCACTTACCACAAATGTGTTTGCCTTGGTTCACAAAGGTATCCATGAGCTCCCACATTGTGCAGCTGCCACATATCATCTGCCATCCTTATGACATTTTAATTCATTTAATGACTAAATTTTAATGAATGGGTTTAGTCTTGTGCTTATATTTTATCATTTCAATAACTGCTGTCCTACATTAGGGGTCAAAGTTCAAGCTAACTGAATAAATGAATGACAATGAGAAGAGGGACGTTCAGTACAGGACGGAAGATTTTATATCTGAATGCAGATAGTACACGAAATAAGGCAAATGTGCTATTGGCGCAGATCAAAATTGGCAGGTATGACGTGGTGGGCATCATGGAGATGTGGCTGCAAGGGAATCAGGACTGGGAGCTAAATATCCAAAGACATGCATCCTATTGAAAAGACAGGCAGGTGGGCAGAGGGAGTGGGGTTGCCTTATTAGTAAGAAATAAAATTAAATCAATAGCAAGAAACAAAGTAAGGTCGGATGGTGTAGAATCTGTGTGAGCAGAGTTGAGGAACTGCAGAGGTTAAAAAAACCATAGTTGGAATTATGTACAGGCCTCCAAACAGTAGTCAGGAACTGGGGCGCAAGATGCTCCAGGAGATAGAAAAGATGTGTAAGAAAGGCAAAGTTACTGTGATCATGGGGGATTTCAATATGCAGGCAGACTAGGAAAATAAGGTTGGTAGTGGATTGCAAGAAAAGGAATTTGTGGAATGTGTACGAGATGGCTTTTTGGAGCAGCTTGTGGTGGAGTCCACTAGGGAACAGGCAATTCTGGATTTGGTGTTGCGCAATGAGGCAGGCTTGATAAGGGAGTTTAAGACGAAAGAATCCTTAGGAGGCAGAGACCATAATATGATAGAAGTTACTCTGCAATTTGAGAGGGAGAAGGAGGAATCAGATGTAGTGGTTTTACAGTTGAATAAAGGCAACTTTAGAGGCATGAGGGAGGAGCTGACCAGAATTGACTGGGAGAGGAGCCGAACAGGAAAGACAGTGGAACAGCAATGGCAGGAGTTTCTGGGGGTAATTTGGGAAACCCAGCAAAAATTCATTCCTAGGAGAAAGAAGCATACTAAAGGGAAGACGAGGCAACCATGGCTGACTAGGGATAGTCAGCATAAAAGCAAAAGAGACAGCATATAATGTGGCGAAGGGCAGTGGGAGGCCAAAGAAATGGAAAGCTCACAAAGACCAACAGAGGACAACGAGAAAAGAAATAAGGAGGGAGAAGATTAAATATTGGGGTAAATCAGCCAGTAATATAAAAGAAGATTTCAAGAGTTTCTTTAGATATATAAAGGGCAAAAGAGGGGCAAATTGGACATTGGACTGCTGGAAAATGATGCTGGAGAAGTAGTAATAGGGAAAAAGAAATGGCTGAGGAACTGAACAAGCACCTTGCATCAGTGTTCATGGTGGAAGACATGAGTAATATCTCAAAAATTCAAGAGAGTCAGGAGTGGGGGGCTGAGGGGCAGAGGTAAGTATGGTGGCCATCACCAAGGAGAAGGTTCTAGAAAAACTGATGATGCTGAAGGTGGATAAATCATCTGGACCAGATAGACTACACCCCAGAGTTCTGAAAGAGATAGCTGAAGAGATACTAGAAGTGTTTTTGGTGATCTTTCAGGAATCACTGGAGTCAGGGAGAGTCCCAGAGGACTGGAAAATCATTAATGTAACCCAACCCCCCTTTTAAGAAGGAATAAGGCAAAAGATGGGAAATTACAGGTTGATTAGCCTGACCTCAGTCGTTGGTAAGATTTGAGTCCAGTGTGAAGGATGAAATTTCTGAATATTTGGAAGTGCGTGGTAAAATAGGGTGAAGTCAGCATGGTTTCATCAAGAGGAGGCCATGCCTGACGAATCTGTTAGAATTCTTTGAGGTGGTAATGAGCAGGTTAGACCAAGGAGAGTCAATGGATGTTATCTACCTGGACTTCAAGGAGGCATTTGACAAGGTGCCACACAGGAGGCTGCTGAGTAGGATAAGGGCCCATCGTGTTAGAGGCAAGGTGCTAGCATGGATAGAAGCTTGGCCGCCTGGCAGAAAGCAGAGAGTGGGGATTAAGGGGTCTTTCTCAGCATGGCAGCCA